AAAGGTAACAACTTTTGATCTTACACTTTCGATCCCACAAATAACTTCGTTGTTGAACTTAAGAAACTCTGTTACATCAAGTTTGATTACCTTGTTTACTTCAAAACTAAGATCACTAGAAAGATCAACTACGGTGTGCTTAGCGAGATCAAAGGTCTTCAGGCACAGGTATTACTGTTTTGGTTGAATATTGATGAAATCAGAGTTGATGTGTCGGCTGCCAGCAATGTCTATTTCACTCTTGGATCTATCAGTCAAACGCTTGATATCAAACAGTTTCAGAGGATTCACCCTTGAAGAGATAACGCCCTTGCTGTTTGTGATCATGCCTCCAAACTTATCTCTCAGGTACTTATTTGTGATCACCGATCATATTCACACTTCATATAAATTGTAATGACTCAACAATCTTATTATAAATCGATTGTTTCGATTTTGGAGTTCTAATTTCTTGTTGTACTATTTTTTGTAGCTTTCAATACCGAAATGAAACATATCAGCATAGAAAGTAATTCGGTTTCCATTCAAAATCGATAGCGGACAACTAAACAACGAAAGAATTGAGTTTTTTATACCTTTTTAGATCATGATGCTGATCAAATTTTTACTTCATATGCTCTTTGATGTGATGGATTTTGGAATTTTGGGTTTTTTTCCATCTTAAGCTTCTTCTTCTTCCAATGTATAGACTTCATTCAATGTTTTACCCTCCTCACCTTACACTTATTATCAGTACAACTCCCATTTATTATGATTCAAATCATATATTTGTATTTATTTATCTTCTGACATTGATTTGAATATGGATTGGTCGTTGGTGTGTGAAGGATCCTTCTCCCATGGGGTTGGTGAATACACCCCTTTGACAACCAGCAGAAATTGCAATTATCGTAAGTTAGAGCAGTTTAACGTCACTTGCGCTTATGTCAATTAATCCCAAGGGTCTTGGAGAACTGTCAGAAAAATCCCTAGTGCCTTGTTGACTCAAACGGTGACCAATGAAGAAAAACCCCAAAGACATAAGTCTTAATTGTCAGTTGAGCTAAGAATCATAATCTTGAAAGTCGATACATATTTTTAACTATGTTAATGCTTCAATGTTTTGGGAATAAAACAACCCGGCAAACGAAATAAACAATGCCGCTTAGCATAAGGATACTTTTTGTTGGTGTTTCATTTTATTGGGCATTAGTGGTGGAGCCCGGATCTCGATCCAGAGGGAGCATCAATCACAAATAAAATAAGTTAAAAAAAAGTAAATATTAATTTTTTGAAAATGGCAAAAACAATGATATTATATTTCTGAAATGCTAACCAAATAATTTTTAAAATGAACCGTTGGGCTTAATAAGAAATCGTGAATTATAATTTAGGGAACGTTTACCAAACGCTTACTCGGATAACTGCGTACGGACAAAATTTAACGTTACTACTTACTTACCAGGTAAGATTTTAGGCCATCAAAACAGTATTGTGTGCAACAATTTATCCGATTGTTAATTGTGGTAAAAGTTGTCACCATCACTTACCGGGTAAGATTCTTGGTACTTGTCATATTTATTTAGTAAGATAATATGACTTGGTAAACGTTTAACTAAATAATCTTTACGTAAATGTCCCCTTAGTCTATTAGCGTCTGATCTTGAGGTTGAGTGGGAGCAAAGCCCAATTAAGTTAATGGGCCTAACAAAAAAATAAGTTTCTATTAAGAGTAAATTACTATATCAAATTTTTAATATAAAAAACAGGGTTAGCAGTTGTGACTATATGGTTCTCCCCTGGTTGTCATCTCAAAATGTTAGGGGGTGCTTAAGGTAAGGAATGGGAATGAATTACAGTTGTGACTATAGTGTTTGATTCAATATAATCTACAGTACCTTATAAACCTTATCAAAAGTATTAAAAACAATTTTTAATGTACAAAGTACTATACATTTATACACAAAATCTTAAAATTCTTTAAAAAAACTCATAATGCATTAAGTACTACTACTTTATGCATTCAGTCTTAAAATCTCTTAATCTACGATTAAAATAACATATAGTACAAGTTACCAATGCACATTATTATCTTTTCTTTTCAAGTTTCCAAGATACTTTTGACACATTTCACTCATGTCTTCACCCTCTCATGCCTCTATGTCTTATCCCCATCCCCCAAGGTGAGATTCAAACTGATATTCACAATGAGTTATTAAAAATTCTCTCATTCAATTGCTCTAGAACTCTCAGTCTCGCTCTCGATATCTTGATTCTTTGCTCTTGGTGTAAATCGAACACATTTGTGGAGTCGTTTAAATATGTTGAATTTTAAACTGTCATACAATTTTTTTCAT